CTGAATGCATACTAGGCCCTACTCCATGCCAAAGGAATGACTGGATGGACGATGGATAGGATGACTACAACTTAAACAACGAAGTAAGAAGAAAACACAATGAATCTAAAAAATCGTTCACCGTCCTGTTTTTAAAGTTCCGTTATCGGCGCGCTTCTCGCGCAGCGTTGATGGCCGTAGAGCGCGATGTTTCACTGCAATTGGCATTTCTCTATTTATTAGGTACCGGATATCTTAGTGTCGTTTTTTCACCGCGAGTTTCGGACCACCAATATTTTAATTCAGAATCCGGGGAGTGAAACAGCATATTCATCGAATGACTCATTAGCACTTTCCCATTTACCAGTATGAGTGGAAACCTCGTACGATTAAAGCTAGGAATTTTTTGAGTCGAAAAAGAGAGGTAGGTCGGTTTTGACATCATCTGACAAATCATCCCTCTCACTTGCTAAAAAGTTAGGCCTGGACAAAAGAAGTATACAGTTAGTTAGAGTAGGGTCTGCACTGTATGGTGGAAAAGTTATAACTTACCAGCTCAACTGGACAATTTTTCCCGGAGTCTTTTTTGCCACATAGGGTCAAAAACGCACCCTTTTTGAGCACACGTGAGTAGCAGATGAGCACATTTATTAGAATTTCTTGTGCAATCAACTTCGTTAAAGCGTTTGTGCATCATCGATCAGTCACTGCTAAGGTGTCCTACCATTTCAGCACAAGACTGGTGCAGCCCCGTCTCGACTGATTTAACTAGGGCCACCTTTTTGACGACGATTGCGGGCATCACTTCAAAGACTTCACTGTCTTTTGAGAAAACTGTGAAAAACCGATGAGCATTTTAAATGGTAGTATTCCCTCCAACAAATGCAATGTTGGTTTGGTGGGCGGAAGTTGTAGCTCTCAGCAAGAATTTTGAAGCATTTGGTACACACATGCGAATTTGCACACTGGACCCAGGAATTTTCAAAAAAAAGTATAAAAATTGGGGGAAAGTTAAATTGTGAACCAACAATAGAAAACAATAAGCAACATATTTCGCAGTATTAATGAGCAAAAAGGACTTTCTGAGATATTGATTTTCCATAGTAATCGGCCCCAAAACTTCCTGAACTCAGAAAAGCGACACTAAGATATCCGGTACCTAATAGTAGTATTCTGTATGATGCGTGCTTGCATTCCTAAAAGGAATTAGATCCTCAGCGGCGAATGTTGAATTTTTTATCTTGTGTCACTCTTTTTCTTTGTTTTATTCAACTGGTTAAGTTATTTATTCCTTGCTTTCAAGTGCAGATGAAACAAGAAGCGGACAAAATTTATTTATTTATTTGTTTACTATTATATTTTTATGGCTTAATAGACAGAATGGCTACAAATTTGGCGACTACATGAAAATTGGGTAGAAAGACCAATAGAAGAATTGATTAACGATACATTCTGAATGTTACTCATGGATCTCAGTTTTATTGAGTATGATTTTTTATTCTTTTATTTTTATGTTAATTTTTTTTTACTTTTTCCGTTGTTTTGTTTTTGTAGCAGATATTGTATATATTAAAATACGATATTATAGTGGAATTCTATATGTATGTATATAAATAAAAACAATTTTTTTTTTAAACTAAAATCAAATGCAAAGTCCAAAAAATCAATCAGTAGATATAGAAAATGAATTGATAATAATAAGGATAAAAGGATAAAGCATTTGCCGTTGATCAATCCCTTTTTGGGATGCGGCACGCATTCTACTTCCATTTGTACATTCGTAGTGGCGTTTGAATGCGATGTGGCCTATACAATGACTTGCGGGGGCCAGCCGATGTACAAGTCAGTGTTTTTATCCTCCCAGACAAGTCTGGTACCAATTAACCGACCCCGGAGGGATGGAAGGCTTGGTTGGGGGGACTCACGACCCAGGATTTGATCCCGGACCGCTCGCGTGGTGAGCGTGCCACTTGTCACTGCACCACTTCCGCCCATCTTTGGTATATATGAGATGATTATATTTTTTAGTTCTGATTGTGCTGTTTGTGAACTCCCGGGTGCACTGCGTTGTGGATACTATAACCTGCCCACACGGGCTTTCCAGTCGTATGTATGAGCTCATCTGTCTGTGTTGTTTACTACGAGCCCCATAAAAATATCTCGACATCTTTACACATATCGTCCCATTGTTTAGCCTTCCTACGCGCTTGATGCATACGTTTTTTCTCTGCAGGCTATAACTCAACAACAAAGACAGATCTCGTCGATTTTTCACAAGAACTTTGGCAGAAATTGCTTTTTTTCTCATTCAAGCCTAAAGAGACTAGGAAACCAAGCTCCACTCCATTTTGAGCACAGTTCTCATCATTGCTAATGTGGTTTCGCTCTGCTCTGCATGGCTTTTACCCACTCATTTTCTGGCAAATTGTTACTCAAATGTAGGATTTATGATGCCGCTTGGTTTAGGAACTGGCCTTCATGTCCGTAGTTTTTTGCCAGTTCTTTGAAGAAACCAACGTAACAGGGGAAGAAGCAGCATTATCGATTCTTTGTCTTAATTTCCCTTCCGCCAGATTGTCATCTTCGGGCGCATCTGTTTAGATAGCGTAGCTTTGCATTCAGCGACATTGCGTACTTGCATAAACCATGGCTTGATACTTTCAGTCACATTTGTTGGGCCGCAACCAAGATATTATTAACCCTTTATTCGGCATTAACGACTTCGCCAGAGCCTGGGAAACCTAGGATAGGTGCGATTTACCCCTAAACCACCAATTCAAGGGTGAATAGCACTTATCTTCGGCTTTTCGGGCTCTGGACGAAGGCGATAAGGCAGAAACGTTACCTGAATAAAAGGTTAATTATATGTAGCTTGGTTGCGGCTCAACAAATCTGACTGGAAGGCTAAGATTCACCAAGAGTCGAACGTGAAGACTACATGGCTTGATAACTTCCTTATAATTATAATTCAATGACACTTATTGAAGAGGCATCATTAAGGATCAGAAAGTTCTGATGACAATCTTCCAAGGAAGAGGAATCGTGGTCCAGGCTTCAACGTGATTTCGCCAGCATTCGGATCTGAAATTTGTGCTCATTTATGCTTAAGAAAACTTCTTAGGGGCGATTAGATGGATAGGCTGCTTCAGAGAGGAAATCGCATTTCATCAAAGCTTAGCAAATTGAGATGGTTCAGTGTGCCACTTAGATCGTGCGTAGTCCTCCGGTAAAACCTTAAACGACACGTCTGTGTTAAGCGAGCAAATTTCCCCTTATGAAGTGCGCTTTCTGGAAACTCGGGATTGGGGGGCGGGGGGGAGGGGAGGCATTGAGGTAACAAAAGGAGGCTCGTTCGCGCAGCTGGAAGAAGGCGGAGATGCGCGAGTCGCAGTGGTACTGTAGCGATTTTCATGCCAAAGATACTAAACGAATGAGTGTACAGATTCATATCACACGATCTCGTTTTCTGTCGTCGCTCGACCGTCTGCGCATCTGTCTTCTCGCCGTGCCACGGGCCTTTTGTCGCGTATCCGAAGAATTCACTCGTATGTATTGTACAAATCGCGTCATATTCAATTCTACTACGGCTATTATTTTTTACCGAATGTTCCATTTTTCTATAGCCTGCGGTTTAAATAAGAAGCTTGTTTTCTGACTTAAAGGAGGCCAACCAGAATTAGGGGTCTGTGGAGTGGAGCCCTGTGTAAGACTGGAGAGGGTCGTTATACATACGGGTCGTTAATGACTTGCGACACGAAACAAGTAGGCAAAGCGCTGCGGTTTTGAATTTCACAACAGGATTCTCCTTTGCCAGGAGATTCACCACAATTGGCGTTATATCGCAGATTCGCTCTCGCCGAAATTACATGCTCTCTCGTTACCATTTTTAGTCTACGCAGCGATCTGTATCTCTCCATGGTCTAGCTGTCAGACTTTTGAAAAGGAAAATTCTATTCACTATCGGTCCTGATCGCGCTCCTACTTCCATTTTGAGAATAACCACACCAGTTTGATATTGTTGGTGTGCCTTGATAGCTGTTCAGTTACTTCTTCGCTCATTA